ATATTATACATATTAATTGTTTTAATTTTTGAATGCATACGATAATTTTTAATTCAATTTTTAAACGAATGTTTTGATGGGACGAGCTTACTGCTCATAGGCTCATCCCATCAAAACATTCCATTCAAAACTCTGGCCTTCATCGAGGCCAGAGCCAACAATTCATCCCCTCAGAGCCAAGTTCCTCGACGGTCGTCCTCATTAGGCCTGATCCGAGAGGAACTTGGCTTTGAACGAAAATCACAAGCTCTGGCCTCAGGAAAAGCCAGAGCTTCGCAAACAATCCTCGGGGCCGGCTTCCTCAAAGACCGCCCTGATTCGGGGCGGCCGGAGAGGAATCCAGTCCCGAGAGAACGTCCATACGAAGCTCTGGCCTTTTCCGAGGCCAGAGCTTGTAAATACAATCCGCAGGGCCGAGTTTGAGGGAGATCGTCCACATCATTGGCGATCTCCTCTCTTCTCGGCCCTGAAAGACATGCAAATACAGGCTCTGGCCATAGCAAAGGCCAGGGCATGGCTTACATTCCCCAGGGCCGGCTTTCCCAAATGCCGCCCTTATCCCGGGCGGCAGGAGTGGAATCCGGCCCTGGGAAGTAGAAAATACGAAGCTCTGGCCCAAGCAAAGGCCAGAGCCTGCAAAATTCATCCTCAGGGCCGAGTTCTGCGATGATCGTCGATCATGTCGACGATCTCGCAGGAACTCGGCCCTGAAAGACATACAAATACAGGCTCTGGCCCAAGCAAAGGCCAGAGCCTCGCTTACAATCAAATTTGCCGAATCTCAGGAGATCGTTCAAATCACGGACGGTTTTCCCTGAGATTCGGCAAAATAAGTCAAATTACAGTTCTAGAAAGACTAGAAGGGGGCCCTGACCTTGAGAAAGGACCCCCTTCCCGGTCTTTCTGGCGAACTTTGGTTCGCATTGCGAGTGTCTGCTGCGAATCCGGGGCTGAGCAGCAGACACTCGCAATCATATGTCGCGGCAAGTGCACCTGTGGTGCCAGAATGCACTTGCCGCGACAATTGCGAAATGCAAAGATGATGCCGGAAGGAGCGGCAATACTGGCAAAAGCCACTCCTTCCGATACCAGAAAGACTAGAAGGGGCCCTGACCTTGAGAAAGGACCCCCTTCTCGGCCTTTTTTGTTAAATTTAAGATCATTTCAATTGCAAAATTATTTCAAAATTCATAATGGATAGTACCATACGAAGGTGCAAGTCATAGCAATGGTGCACCATCAATATGAGCCCCATTGCTATGACTTCACCTCGGGATAACCTCGATGGGAGGAAAAGTGGAGCAATTCGAAACATTGCTCCACTATACAAGTTCTTGTAAGGATAGGTATATAGTTACCACATCCTTACAAGAACTGTTCCTCGCTTCGAGGTTTTGTCTTGTGATTGTGTGTGCTGTGCCATCCAATGGACAAACGGATAGCACAGCACACACATACTAGGCATGATAACCCTTCCTTATGAATTAGGACGCGATAGCCCTGACCTCACCCCGGGATAACTTGCATTTGTACTCATATCCCAATCAATAACATAATTTATATCAAGACACACCTACCACTACATAATATAGCATTATATCAACACAATACTAATATATAATGTTAAAAACACACAAATTGATGATATTCATAATATAAATTGGGACCAAAGATCTATATTGAGACCTAACTATTATCAAACCTTTATATATAGGAAACATACATTGCACCTATAGAATATTGAATGAAAATTAGATGGTTCTAAAATTCGATATCTGATGCTGACCCAAGGTGGTCCTCATTCCTATATATGTTCATCTATACCTAATGTCCTAATATTCATCCATATACATGTTGGGTCTATCTCCATCAGAAGGGTCCATGCTGAAGTGTGGGTATTCAATTTCCACCCAACGGTTCAGCACGCCTCCATTATATTCCCACTCATTATATTCGTAAATTTTGAGGTTTATCCTTCGCTTTTAAGATCATTGAATTTGATTTTTATATAAAATAGTTATATATTAGAAAATATTATGAGTTTATGTGATATTATTTTTCAGAAGATTTTGTGTTCTTCTTCAAAATTTTATTTTTTTATTAAAAAGAATCTTTACAAAATATACATTTACTTTAATTAATATTTAAAAACGTGCTCTATCAAAAGTTCCAAAAATTCAATATTTTAGCTTTTCTGAGGTGTCACTTTTGATGAATTTCTGTTTACAACAGATTGGCGCTTTGCGCCAATCAAATAGCAAATAAAATGACTTTTCAAAATATTTATTAATTATTTATTATCAAAAGTCAAAAAAATCCGATATTATTACATTACATCTGATTGCAAATCAAAATTAAAAAAAAAAAAAAAAAAAAGGTAGTGGGGCCTCCAGGCACTTCGTGCCCTCTAGCCCTGAAGATGTTTAGTATAACTTTGTCCGGACAAGTAAGGGTCTATCGTCGCTACAGGAAAAGTTACGGGCGTTCCAAGGAAGTATACTTTGAGAAGCCTTTTCTGTCACTTTTCAAGAAAAAACATTTTTATTATTATATAAATGAATTTTACAAAACCACCGTTACCCTTCTTTGGAAATAAGAGTAAATGTAAAGATATTCTATTGAGAGAACTTAAGAAACTACCGAATGGTCTAACATTTGTAGATTTGTTCGGTGGAAGTTTCTATATGTCCCATTTGTGCCATACAATATTCCCAGACTCAAAGATTATATGCAATGACTTCGACAACTATATGGACCGTCTCAAACATATACCAGACACTAACAAAATATTGAAAGAGTTAAAAGAAAAGATACCTATAGGTAAGATGGAACGTATACCATTAGATAAGAAAAATATTGTGAGAGAGGTTTTGAAAAAAGCAGAATATATAGACTGGGATAGTATATCTGCTAGACTATTATATAGTGGTTCTATAAGAGTTCATGACATTGAAACACTTATGTCAAAGTTTTATATCTTAACTATACAAATGTTTTCAAAGAGGACATAGAAAAATATATTGAGGGTATAGAGTTTGTGAGATGTCGTTGGACAGAGTTGTATGAAAAATATAAAGACAAGGAAAATGTTTTCTTTATAGTGGACCCGCCGTTCTATAACACATGGGATTTTCAATACCAAGTAGACTGGACTTTGAGAGACTCTTTAGAAACTTTAGACGTTTTACATAACCATGCATTACTTTACATCCGATAAAAGTGGTTTGGAAACCGTTATGAATGGTTAGAGGACATACATGACTATGAGTTTAGATATGACAAGATAGAATATGAGAGAGGTCCTATAAACCGGAGAAAGTGTCATAACAAAGAAATTTTATTAGTAAGTAAATGTGGTTTGAAATAGGACTACTTGTTTTAGGTTTTTTCCATTGTGTCATTTATTTATTTGACGTGGCAGAAAGTACAGAGAATATGAAGATGAACCAATGCCTGCAAATGTCCAGTATATGTACTCGTAAGAGATATTTTTATCTAATATTAAATGGACGCACAGAACTTAGCGAATGCACAGCAACCTGGACAACCAAACCCAGAGAATATTCCAAATGAAGTTAGAATACAAACTGCAATGGCAAACTATGGTCAAGTGCCAACAGATGTACAAATGCAAACTGCCATGTCAAATGACGCTGCGTTAGGTTTGCCACCATGGTATGCAAATATGAGATGGAAAGAGTTTTATACAAACCCTGAAGTGGGATATAAACAACTTTATGCAGATGACGCGAACACAGGAGTTGACCCAGAATATGTTTTCTACCAGAGGAGAAACAGAATGTATGAGCTGCAGTTAAAGAATGCTATGGAACTCAACAGGAAACGTAAGAGACTAGGCGGACATTAGATTTTTACATATAGTAAAATGGGTTTCTTCAGTAGTATTGGAAACTTCTTCAGAAGAGTTGGAAGAGGTATATGGAATGGAATAAAAACCGTAGGAAGAGGAATTTGGAACGGAGTCAAAAATATTGGTAAAAGAGTAGGTCAGTTTGTTGGTATTATACCTAAAGACCCTGAACCAGAAGAACAAGCTCCTGTTATACAACAGCCTGAACCTGCACCACAGTCAAGTTGGCAACCAAATCCAACACCTCAACCGTATTAAAAAATTATATTTTTACCGTTCGATAGTAGTTGTATATGAAACTAAGTTCTAAGTAAAACGCATGGTATAATGGAATTATTCTCTTTCTTCCATCTGTAGTAAACCATACTTGAAAGTCTGAAATACTTCCACTTGGTGGTTCATATAGCTTTGTAGGTTTTTCGTAAAAGTCATTTGCCAAGCATAAAAAAGAGTTTTGTGCACCAGAAAATGAAGCATGAACTATAATAGCATCTGAGTCGAAAACATTTTCATATATTCCATTAGGGTTTTCGACTTCATAAAAGTCCGGGTGTACTGGATATGCTGCAGGCTGATTTAACATCCTCAGAAATCTATACCATGCCAAGTTGTTATATTTTGTAGAAATATAAACGTTTTCTCCAAGGTCTTCTATTCTATTGATTTTAACAGTTGCATTTTTCCTGTCATATATAATATCGAGATGGTACTCTCCTTCGTCAATGTTATACTGCTTTGCATATTCAATATAGATATCGTTTATTTTTTCTTGAAAAGCTTGAAGAGTTGTTTCTAAGTTTACAAGCAAACTAACTTGTAAAAGTTTTCCCTGTTCAAATTTCTCATACATACGTTTTTCTTTGTTATAGTATCGAACTTCAAAACCGACCGTAAATGGGAAACCATGTATGGCTTCTGAAATGAACTTCATTCTACGAAAGCCAATAGCTTTTGTGACAGATGGGTCTCTTAACCATCTTAACGGGTAGTCAAAACGATAGCCTTCATGCTTTACGGTCTCTGTCTCAAACTTTTGACCGACATTAGTAAAAAGTTCATCTAATGGTTTAGTTGTAGCAACTCTAGAATTTTCTTTTTCTATTGAAAGCATATTTTATCTATAATCAAAATGTCAAATGAAACAGCGTCTATGAGAGAAATACAACACAACCGACAACTCATTATACAAGCTCTAAATAAGAACACAACAAACTTTTCAAACTATTCTAAGATATCTGAGTCATTGAAAGAAGGAAACTTAAAACTGACATTAAACCCAATGACAGATGAGTTTCTGTTTCAAGACAATAAGAACCATACTCTTTGTATAAATCCAACAAAAGGAACTTTAAACGAGAAACCTATAAAAGAACTTCTTTTGAAAGCAGATGTTGACAACAAAGCAGACAAAACATATGTAGACGATGCAATAGCAAAAGAAGAAGAAAGAGCTAACAAAGCTTATGCAACAAAAGAACATACTCATCCTGAACTAGCAGACAAAACATATGTTGACAATAAAATGTCAAGTGAAGTGACAAGAGCTGAAAACGAATATTCTAAAAAGACTCATACACATACCATTGCAAATATTACAAACTTACAAGAAACCTTAGAGACAAAAGCAAATAAGACTCATACACATACCATTGCAAATATTACAAACTTACAAGAAACCTTAAACAGGAAAAGTGACGTTGGACATACACATACAAGTTTTACAACTGTTGCTATAGAAAATATTGAAGGAACGGTTGAAGAACCTGATGGGGATGTATTATATTGGAAACCTCCTAACTTTCCACAAGGTTTAACATCGGATGAAAACATAACAACGATGAAATACATTAGATGTAGAAATGTTTATGCCATGGAGGATGAAAAAAACGTTAAATTCACTGCTCAAGATTTATATGAGAAGAAAGCAGACAAAACAGAGCTTCAAACATTAAAGACGGAAATACTTCAAACATTATATCCTATAGGCTCTATTTATACGTCAATGAACTCTACCAGACCAGAAGTAGTACTTGGTTTTGGAACTTGGACTCAAATAGTCGACAGGTTTTTGTATTGTGCAAACTCTTCAAAGGAAACAGGTGGAAGTAAAACGATTTCAGGTGAAAACTTACCTGCGCACAGTCACTACATAGATTTAAGTACATCTCAAGCAGGTTGGCATAAGCATAAATTTTGGGATTGGTCAGCAATGACAAAAGGTAAAGGATATGATGTTAAAGACAACGTTCAGTTTGCTATAAATTGTTTCTGGGGTAACACTCAGGGAGATGGAAACCATACACATCGCGTTTCAGGGTATACGCAAACAACGGGACAAAGTAAAGACTACATGCCACCTTACATGACAGTTTACGCATGGTATAGAAATGCTTAGTCGTCATTTTCAACTTCTTTAGCATATTCGTCAGGAGTTGTCTTATATTTGTTAGGAACTGTCTTTGAAAGTATACCACCTTGAACTTTGACAAGTTTGAAACGAGGTCTGACAATAGTAGTTTTATCTTCTGCTTGCAGTCTGTACATTTTGCCATGTTTGCCTAAAACTTCATAATATTCTCTTGTATACTTTCTTCTATTTTTACGAACACGAATGTGAGTACCTGTCGGGTTCCCATTGTTGTCATAGTCAATAGTATTTTCATATGGGTCGCGTTTAGGTATTTCTATTTTTACTTTGTCACCTTTCTGAAGTTTGAAGCCCGGCATTCTTTCTTGTTTGTCTCTTTTGACTAAATTATTAAATATATAGTCTTTCTCTAAGTCAGGGTTGTTTTTCATTTCTTCGGGGGAGTGGTTTCCCAAACCTTTTTGTTTACGGTTATTGTAAATATTTAAAACTTGTCTCATCTTTGCCTGGGAGAAGTGTCTATATTTGTCGTCATATGACATTTCATTTGCTTCACCACCTTGTGGTTGGTTTAAGTCTCTTAACATTTTTATACAACCGTCAATGACACCAAGAGCAGAATGGTTTTGGTCGACAATGAAATATTGGTTTACATTTTTTGAACGCAGATAGTTTTTTACATCATCTGATTTGAAAGAACTTTCACAGTCAGATGTTAGTTTTGTTGGATGGTATTTGTCAACGAATATTGTCAAAGCAGTTTTTCACATCTAAAATATTTTTGGACTGTAATGGTATGGCTTCACAGTATCTTGTGTTTTGACCGACAAATATTAGCCAGTATGGTGGTCCATCTTCTCTATACCTCGGAATGTTTTCCAAGATATCCATAAACCAAGCATTTGGTGTTGAACTAAAGATTTTTACCATGAGTGCTTTCTTTGTCGCTTTAGAAACATAGGGGTCCTTGTTTGAATTCGTCATTTTTTAACCCATAAGAAATGGGTTTATTTGGCGCATTAGCAGGAGTTGCATCCAGATTTTTACCCGCAGTAGGAACAATAGCCAGAGGTGTATTTGGAGTTGGAAGGAAGATTTTGAGTACATTAGGTATACTGAAAGAGAAAGCACAACCTATTATACAAACTGTACAGAAAGGTTGGGATGTAGCACGAGATGCAACAAATCTTATTCCAAATCCTGAAACAAGAGGAAAAGTTCAAGGATGGATGGACAATGTAGGAAGACAAGCAGGAAACTATTATAACAAAGCAAATGACTACTATAACCAAGCAGGACACTATATGGACCAAGGTGAAAGATTCTTTAACAGAGGATATAACCATGCACAACAGTGGGTAAACAATAACCAACCTCAACCGCCTCAAACGTGGGGAATGTAAAGTTTTTTATTGAGATGAAATGAACAATGCAGCATTGAGACAAATGAGTTCAAGATGGATTTGTCGGCTTCCAGCATTTACACCACGTGTTTGTAAAGTTCTTCCTATACCTCAGGAAGTTTTAGACCGACTTAAAAAACCTAAACAACCAGTTTGAAAACAAACCAAACTAAAATTTTTTACTGAGATGAAATGACCGAAGAAGTTGAAACGGTAGATTTGACACCACAAACAAAAAGTTCAGAACCATTGTCAAAACCTGTCAAAGAACTTACAGATGAAGAGAAAAATTCAATAATAGAAAGTGCCAGGTCTGGAAATACAAACCCTAACTATAAAGTCACTTTTCATAGAAATGGAACGGCTAGTATCTCAAAAAAGAAACAGACTCTCACAAATAAAATATTGAAGTCTGAAGGAGCTTTCGAGACAACAGATGGAAAAGTTTACTTCACTGACCAACAGTTCATTATAGAACATCTCATTGACTTAGAGTCGAAATATTCTAAACTTTACAACAAACACAAAAAGTCGAAAGGAAAACAAAAACAAATGGCATATGATATTTATGAAGATGTTGACGACACAACTGTTCCTGCAAGTGAAGTAAAGTCAGAGAAACCGAAAAGTGACGAAAAACCGATAGAAGAAGAAAAACCAAAAACTGAAGATAAACCAAAACCAAAGTTTAGTTTGGAAACTAAACCAAGTCAACCTTCATTAGCTGGTATGGGTTGGCGTCAAAGACTTATGGCAGCAGGCGGTTATGTTAAGTAAAGAAAAAAATATTTTTTTTTATTTTTATAAAAAATGCCCCCATATAGAATGGATAGAAAATCTGCTAGAATAAAAGCAGAGTTGCAAAGATATGGTTGGAGAGTTTCGAAGAAGTTTAAATATAGGAAGGGAAGACCCATAAAAGTCTATGACAAATTGTCTGGTCTTCGCTACGAAATGGATTTGGAAACAGCACGTGCCAATTATCCAAACAGACTAGAGAGGTTAGAAGAAGAACGTCTTATGGACATGCCTTTCGATGTTAGTGAACCTCAAGTTGAAGGAAACTTGTTTGTTAGATGAGAAATATGAAATGGCATACCATTTTAAAACAATATATTTTTACATATATTAAATGCTTCAGGTTGAAAAACAAAGAACAAAAGTAGCAGATACAAAACCGTTAGACTATATCTATACAAATGCTAGTAGGACTATTTCAGATGAAGAAATTTCATCCCGAGTATACAGGTTTGACTATCCAATTCGTTGGCTTCAAAGTCCTTCAGATGCAAAGGCAATAGGATTTAGAAGAGTTTTGTTTTCAAATAGAACTAACGCATTTATGTTCGCAGTATATTTTCATGGGCAGTATAAAGGTTCTGATGGTCTAATAGACAAATTTGACGAAATGAGAATCTTTACAGTTCGTTCAGACGAAAGTCTTGAGAAAACTCTAAATGACTTTCAAACTCAAATGAACAAATATTATTGGGAATTTCAAGAAAAATACGACTCTTTACTAAATGGAACATACTATCTGAAACTAGAATATGACAAGATGAACTCCACCGTTTCATTTCAAAAGATTGAAATTAACCCTCCAAGAGATACAGAGTTTTTATTTTGGAAAGTAGACAAACGTTCTTGGGCACAATTTCTTCGGTTACTAAACCAGAACGAACCATTACCACCAGATGGTCCATTTAAATTTATACTTCCACCAGCAGATTTGACAGTTTATAGAAACGTGTTTGACCCTCAAATGTTATGTGCCATGCAAGTTTCAGTTCAAGCAACAATAGTTTTCTATGTATCGGTAAGGACTTTTATGACTTTGCTTCTAAATTCTACGAACCACCTAGTAACAGTTTCTCTGACTTTCAAGTTTGGTTCACAACAAATGGTGTGCAACATATAATACCATTGTACTATGACTTTTATCTCGAATTGTCTTTCATATACAACTACGGAAAAGTGCTGAAAAAGTGAGTTTATGTTAGCATGTTAGATCTAACACGTTTTCTAACATTTTTTTTCACCCTCTTGAATTTTGTATAAAAACCAACCGCCGTTTTTCTTCCGGTTGCTATATTCTTCACAAAATGCTTGTTTTGAGGTCGAGCCACTTTTGGCTCCACCGTATTTTTCAACCAAAACTCATGAATTTTCCCGAAATAAAATAAAAAGTTAGTTTTTTTAAAAAAATATTTTTTATTTTTATTGTAAGAACATGTTAGCAACAACAGCACCAAACTCTTTAGTTATGAACCCAACTTCAATGTTAGTAGAGATGAAAAGCTTCATTCCTTCTTCATATACTTTCGAAACAGAAATCCAGAAGATAAAGCAAGAACTTCTCCAAGGAGATTTAGATTGCACTGCAAAAGATGAAACAAATGAAGAATATCTTTATGACATGCAGGACCTGGTGGAACATCTACCTAAACTTCCTGAAATACAACAACAAAAGCTCACTATTCCTGAATTCGATGAAATAGAAGTGAAACCAACTGACTCAGTTGAAACCAAGAAGTTCATACGTAAGGTTAACTATGAGTTTCTTGGATTTCATTGCAACCACAAAGTCATTGACATATATAAATCTGAAGAATTTAAGACCTACGACAACTTTGTTTCGTTAGTTGCAAAATGTGTATGGCAGATAAGAGATAAAGATAGAAGAGGTAAAGTATGGAACGGACAAATAAAACCAGCAGCCTTTGAGTTAAAGAAAACCATTTACGCCTTAGTTGTACTTGCAGGACAAATTTCAATGTACAATGCTAAAATGAACCCACAATGTTCTAAATGTAAAGCAGCAATGAGGAAATATAACTATTCTGTCAAAGAGATAGAACGTATGCGAAACGACTATGCTGACTTAAAGAAAGAAGCAGAGAAACCAGCAGAAGATAAAAATGGACATGTTGACATTTCTGAACAAAAAACTATCCAACTGCTGACGATTTCCTTCTATCTGACGTCAAGAAGAAATATAAAGAAACATTCGGCATTGTTAAAACATTCGATGTACTGACAGAAGAAATAGAAGCTACAAAACTGTTTAGAATTTCACGAATTCACAATGTTTACCATGTAAAACGCTTGTGAAACTTTATGGTAGAAATATATTTTTGTCTGATTTACGCTCATTGACGATGAAATCATGACAAAACATATACGAAGAAGTCTATTTCCTGTGTTGTTGTCAAAATGTCATGTTGTCACCATTTTCAAAAAGATGTTAGTTGACCGAGTGACCGAGTGACCTGGTGACCTGGTGACACCTAAAATATATTTTTGTCTGATTTACGCTCATTGACGATGAAGTTTTGACAAAACATGTACGAAGAAGTTTATTTCCTGTGTTGTTGTCAAAATGTCATGTTGTCACCATTTTCAAAAAGATGTTAGTTGACCGAGTGACCGAGTGACCTGGTGACCTGGTGACACCTAAAATATATTTTTGCTGAAAAAATGACCAAAAATCATGATATAACTGTATTTTTTTGACGAAGAGAACTTTGACACTTCGTCAAAAAAATCCCTGAAATCGTAAAAAAATGACCAAATTTCATGAATTTCCTCATATGTTTGCGACCCGAGGAAAACCGAGGAACGAGA